CTTCTCTCCTACACCACAAAACTTGTCGTCCTCTCTCGATTTTCTAAAAGCACACATCGGCGACTTTTCTTTTCCTTTTTAGTTCATCTTTAAAATTTTGTTTGGTTTGGTTGTGTTGTGAGTTTGTTACCATACGGATAATCGCGACATTATTAAGTTGTTTTTCTCTTCTCCGGAGTAGAAGATCTGCACATCGTTGGCGCGTCAACACAGGATTCAGTAGCGCATTCGTATAACAATGAGAAAGTTGACGCTCGTTATGACGAGCGCAGTCAGCATGAGAGGAAGTGACATCAATACAGCACGCCGAGTGAAAGCCAACTTACGGAGCCTTATCGCAGTCCTCCCTTGCCAGTACATACATATGGCCCGCATACATTCGCCACCATACATTCAGATCATATCATATGACCATATGATACATTCAATGACCATATAATACAATCAATGATGCATATACAATGACCATATGATACATACATTCAGATCATATCATATGATACACCATACATTCAGATCATACATTCGCCACCATACATTCGCCTTGCTAAGCCGCCTCGCGGAGCCTTATCGCAGTCCTCCCTTGCCAAAATGTCTATTGCGTATCATAAGTCATACATTCGCCGTACATCAAAATTCATTCGCCAAGCATCAGAAATACTCATTTCACTATACATAAAACTTCATTCATTCGTCACGTACCACATGCGTTCATTTCCCCTTCATCAATAATTAAACCAATCATTCGCATCCAATTTCAATTTTTTATTCTTCTTGAATCGTAAGTCTCATGCTCCTCGTCCAGAGTCGTTCCTTAACGCTTAGAGTTCGTACTCTGCGAACATTGAATAGTGCTTTAATATGCGAAGATTGATCACTGACAATTTCCTCAGCGTGGCGTGCGTGTTAATGTAGCTAACACCCTTTTAACGCCAGCAGCTAACAGAAGGGAAATAATTTTATTTAGCCATGAGTATTTCAAATAGGTTGGTATTAAGAGGTTAAAGATGTTTATAATAAACTGGAGTATCGCTAATTTATGCTTGATCGAGAAAGAAATAGAAGCTTGAAATGTTGTGTCAATTTGCGAAGGTAAATTTTTACGACGGCTTTGAGTGGTCTGACAGCGGCGCCTGTTTTAGGGCAGACATTACCTAGAATGAGGACGACCTAAGTGGTGGTTGCGTTTTTTGAAGGACGGCCTTAGCAACCATTACCTAGAATGAGAACAATATTTGCGCATGGCATAATTTTTTTGAACGGTTATTAGAGATATTACCTAGAATGTCGACAATATTAGCATATGGTAGGTTCTGTATTGAAGGTCTGCTCGTGCAACCATTACCTAGCTAGAGTGAGGGCAGTCTTGCGCAGAATGATCTTAGCATTTGGTGGGCTCGTTATTCAAGGACTGCTAGAATAATAATTGCCTAGTATGAGGAAAACCTTAGCACACTGATGGTTCATTATTGAAGAGCTGCCCTAGCACCCAGCCATAACCTAGAATGATGATACCTATAAGCAGGACGGTGAGAAGCCATTGCTTTCGAATGATTTTCGGCCTCCTTAATATATTCAGCGTTAATATTTCAGAGCTTTCAACATTTTCATCTGATCTCAATACTTATTTTGCAATGCCTCCCTATTTTTTCTCTCAAATCCTAAATATCGCTCCGTATCTCTTATAATTTTGACAGTTTTCGTACCCATGCTATGCTTAATAACATATTTGATTCGTATAAATAACTGGAACAAAATATATAACTCTTATAACTCGCACGCAGCTCAATTAGAGAAAAAATAACCGTAGAATAAATGTTGTCTCGCCTTTTCGGTGGCACGCGCATCCCAATGGACACAATTCTTAACTGTGGTGCACATGTATTCTCTTTCATTTTCAATATCTACATCAAATAATCTGGTATAGCTGGGCAGAAATTGTCCTTCAATGCAGGTTTTATTGAAGATCAGAGAGTAATGGTACAATATAATGTACGAATTATGCAAAAAATATAACCAAATCAAAGTAATGATTTAATTAGAAAGTTGGGGCTGAATATCGTTAGTCATTCATTGCTTAAAAAGTGAACAAGTCGTATGACTTCGTTTACCAGGGTTGTTATTGGCCAAAAAGCTGCAAAGCTCTGACATCGTTCGGTTCTTTGCCGCCATCTGTTACAGCTCTACAACTTACAGCTGCTGCTATTCGACGTACAGCTTCTATTTTACAACGTACAGCTGCTACGAGCTGTGCCTGGTCAGGTCGATTTTCTACTAAATCTCAGGTCACAAGGTCATGACAATTTATTTATGATGGATCGATGTAGACATCACCATTGGGTGAAGTGATTCAAATCACTTGGCCATCTAACATGTTCAATTTGAATCTTTAGCTGTAGATTATCATGCCATATTGGTCAGACTAGTTATTTTAGCTTTTTAGTCATACTAGTACTTTTTTATCGATCATACTAGTGCTTAATTGCAAGAAAAACAACTTTGGATAATTGAATTAAGTTGGTCAACCAATATATTTTTGCTTGTGTCATCAAAGTATAATTAAGTATTTAACTATCCTGGGCTGGTGCCACAAAAATTGTACATGAGTTGATTCAAAATTTTAATGATGCTCGTGCACAATGTTTTCCAATCTTGGGAAAAAAATTCTCCGTATTAACCTGGAAGTTTCTTTCTAGTGCGTTTATGTCCATGACGGAGTAGCGGTTGAGGCAGGGATACGAGCGTTACAAGGAACGATAGCGAGCACAAACACATCCCCTGCATGAGATAGGAAATCGCGCGCGACACTCACGAGTCTTGCGTTCGTGCGCACGAAGCACGGAAAGCGATCGTTGTTTTACGGTCATTACTACCGTAGAGCTGCGCGGCTGTCGCGGCGCTGAGCTTAGCAAACGCCTGCTTGCGGCCTAGCTCAGCCTGACCGACATTTCTGCGAACTGTGTTTTTTTCTGGCTCATGTTTATAAACGAACTGATATGCATTTGAAAAGGAATTTTTTGTTTACAATAATTTTGAAAGCTTTAGAATAAAGGCAGCTTAATTGTTGGTTGAAAAATTGACGTTTGACTGGATTATTAGGAGTTGATAATTGCGTCCGCTCTTCAATAAAATCTATTATGAAAAATATTATTGAGCGGCGTGAAAATCCGTGCATGTCTAAAATCAACGCTTATCATCCTCCACTTCTACAGAGATAACTATTGGCCAAAATTTATTCCTTTTGGTTCATTCATTTTTTGCTCAGTCCATCCGTAATTGGTGCGATAGTGGAAGCGTCACTGGTGGAAACAATCAATTCTAATTATTACAAGTCATTACTTACCGGTCAGAATCGGATCATTTTCGCAAGTGAATTAGATAATTATCGGCATCGATATGAAAAAATATATTGTTTGCAATTAAATGAATGTTTCTAGCTAGATAAAAACGAAAAAATGGGATCATTCATGTTATAATTCCCAAAGCTAGTTATGGTTTTGTCTTGAAAAATTTATGTGTTGCCAACAGTCACGCGCAAGCTCGAATGTTACGATGACAGCTGCCGGTTGAGTTCGACTTGTGAAATCTCTTGTTGAAATTTTCACTGGAGTTTGCCTCATTCGCAGAATATTTCTTCGATATCTGTGTTTATAAATTGTGTAATCTGAAGTTGAGGAGACGTTTGATACCACTGAGTGGAGTACTGTATAATGTAACTACACGAGCACATATCGTGATTGTCAAGCATATGACCGACAATCACGTTTTCTGTGCTTAAATAGGTCAAAATGTATTGAGGTAAAAATGTATCGGCAATTAGTGTATCACCCACTGCCATGTGAGGTCCAACATTCCTTTTTATTCAGCATTTTTGTTCGATCACAGCTTACTGTACAATTACCATGATAAAAATTTCTCAAATTAATTAGTGACGCCTCTATCAGAAACATAGCACATTTAGAATTGCTTTTTTTCAATTCTCAAAACTTTACATCATCCCTTCGAAAACGCGATAGACATCGACAGCTTTTTCGTTTTTTTTAGACGAGCGAGAAAAAATATTTCGCGTCTCTCGCCCTCGTGGTTCACGTCGGCGAGCAGCTCAGGCCGCGGCAGCGCCGGCACAGATGTCGTAAGTTGGCTGGTCGGCGCAAAAGTCCCGCTGCGTTAGCCCACGCAAAAACTTCCTACAAGTCCAGCGCGGATACCTACCGTGAGTTCCGTACTCGAGCATCCGACGTTCCTGTATGCAAATTAATGCCACGACTAAGTTTTCCCGACGGGTATGTTGTACTCAATCACGATTTTAATATTTTTAAATTTTTGAAATAACATCACTAATTACGTATTATTGTTATATTGATGAGGTGCAAACGGACTGGAGATTGGCTTGCTTGTGTGCGAAAATTCTTGCCCATGCAGAGCTAATGCATTAAAATTTCGACGCATAAAGGCCATTTTTTTATTTTCCTCTAAGATATAGAAAATCATCATTATAGTTGATTTTTATGTATTCCTCAGTAATTTAAAACATAAATTGTTATCTGCCTGGTGCGAGGAGCTGCATCATGTGTTGCATCCAGATGCAAATGTGATGTTTATTTTCTGACGATTGAAGTGCATATTTTTGCCTGAATCCGTAGTCAATTAGTGGGTTACTTCTAATTTCATTTTCTTTTGATTCTTTTATTCTTTTCCTTAATTTTTTTGCACGAATTAACGGAATTTGTGCATCATTCATTGCCTCATATTTCCAGGCAACAACGATACCGGATTTCCTGAGACTGTTTGTATCTTCAGGCGTTCCATTTGACGGTCCACACTCGTACGTATGTCATGAGGTCGCTTCGTCCTATTCAAAATTTTGCTCCAGAGTATCTAAGTAAATGTTTTAGCCACGCTGGCTTCTCTACAGACCGCGTGTGCCGGCCTGACAGCCTGTCCACCGGTACCGCCCCCGGACCTATAAAAGCTTGGGTTCTCGCGGTCGCTCCCATTCTTGCGCGCGCCAGTGTCGGTGAATGAGTGAATCCTCGAAACCGAATAGGATTCCCGCGAGAACAATAACAAGGTGGGAACAATTCTTAGTGATAATTTTGGTATATGTCATCTCGTGGTTTATTATAACATATTAAATTCTTGGTTTTATACTGAAACGAGTTATCCATTTGTTTTTGCATGCTATTAGTTTACGGGTCCGGTCTTTACAAAATTTGGAGATTTTCCTGCTTGAGTCTCGAAGCAATGCTGTTTCTATTTGTTGATTTCCGACGTACTTTTCGGGTGAAATCAAGCAACTGTGAGCTCTCGGACGATTTTCTGAATTATGTCTCTCTAAGCTTTCCGATTATTTTGGTCACGAATAAATGAAGCGAGGACGCACTCTCACCAGTGAAAACTTTGACCGGTTGACTGATGACGAGATGACTAATGACTAGATGACTGATGATGAGATGACTGATGACAAGTTGACTGACGACGAGAAGACTGATGACGAGGTTACTGACGACGAGATGACTGATGAAGAGCTGACTTAGGACAAGGTGACTGATGACGAAATGACTGATGATAAGACGACTGATGACGAGACGACTTATGACCCGGGGACTGATCACTTAGTATACATGATTAAGTAACCTGAATAAGATGCCAGGATCTTCCCCAAGAAGCGTCACAACAGAAGGCGGTAGCATGGCGCTCAGTTACGACGCGGCTCACAGCGGTCCTCCGTTACTAATTGCTTTTTGTTCGGCGCGCCGGCGTCGCGTGCGTCGATGCAGGTCAGCGCTGTTCCGGTGCGGGCTGCTATGCATGCAACGGGTCGGAAGAAGGCGACCGCGAAAACAGGGTGGAAACTTGCTTCGTAATATTATTCGCTTTCGCAAATTTTTTATTATATGACAAAAAAATGTTTAGTAAATTTTTGTGTCTATCACCTAACATATAACCAATAAATGGCAAACCTCTCTGACTTTTAAATTGGCCAAATTGTTGGTGCTCGTATGGCAGGTGTTAGTGTGAAAGAAACTTGCAGAATACGTGACGTTTCTAGAGGTACTTTCTCAAAAGTAATGACGGCTTTTGAAAGGTAAGGCAAAACGTCCTCAGCAAAGCACAGGTCTGGCTGAAAATAGATGTTGTCAGAGAAGGACCATCGATAAATAAATCGAATTGAATTGTGAAGGACATTCGAAAGACAACGGCTGTAAAAATTACTGCAGACCTCACTGGTCAGTGGTCAAATACAGAACCCAGTTTGCATAAAGACTGTCCGCCGAGAGCTGTACAGATCCGAATTTTATTGAAGAGCAGCAATTAAAAAACTTCTGTTTCAAATACAAATGCTTAAAAACGTTTAGAGTGGTGTAAAAACTTCCGGAATTGGTCCCTCGAGCAGTAGAAAAATTTGTATTTCTCTAACGAATAATCGTTTACCTTTTCCAAACTTTGGCCGAGTTTACGTTTGGAGACAGTCGAAAGAGTCATTTGATCTCGACTGCCTCCTCCCAACCGTAAAACATGGCGGGGATATGTGATAATCTGGGGGGCTATTTTTTGGAAATCCGGTGGACCAATGATTTCTCTTCGTGGAAGAATCAACAGCCTTGACTATTTAGGAATTTTTGAAGGACTAAGTTCATCCAATGTTTCAAGTACTGTTTCCCGATTGGAACGCCAACTTTCAAGATGAAAAGGCCCCCGATCCATACAGCTGGAATTGTTAAAAAATGGCATCAGGAACATTCTAATGAATTCAGCATCTCATTGGGCCACCACAATCACCAGATCTGAATATTATCGAATATTTGTGGTTGATTTTAGAGATGCAAGTCAGAAGTCGATTCCCGCCGTCATCGTATTCAAAAGAGCTGGAGGGAGTGTTACCGAAGAATGGGTTGAAATTCATTCGGGAACAATTCACAACTTGCGCGAATCAATACATCGGAGAATTGAGACTGTAATTGCCGCAAAAAGTAAAAAATATTTAATTCATTCATACTAAAGTTCATTAATTCATTAATCCATACTGGGATTTATACTAAGAAATATTTTGTGGTTATCTCAGGTGTTTCCCTTATTTAGTCTAGCGGTCTAACCCCTAGCTGTATTTCTAGCGTGCTTTGTTCTCTACATGAGTTTTTTGCGAATTTTTTACGTACGAGAAACTGACAGGAACTTCGAAGTCACAAGGCTAATCAATTGAACTCTCAATTGAGCTTTCTATTCAATTAATGCGCACCGAATTATCCATTGTTTAATTTCAATAGTTTATTTCGTATCTCACTTTCTAATTTACGACGCAAAAACTAAGTTTCCATTAATGTCATTTCCATTCAGATTTTTTGTCCGGCAGGCTTCAACAATGGTTTGTGAAATAAAATGCATAGAGCTTTGTATTTATCGACGAACAAGTGTGATGAGTTTTGAATCTCAGAGGACATCTCCCTCGTGGATTACGAGTTGAAATACGTTGAAGGGTAAACATCAGAGCTGGCTCCCTGCCTAAAGTGTTACTCGTTAATGAATTTTTCCCGCACGTATGTGTCCTGCTATGCAGATATTAATAAAATAGTACTAACGCGTGTAGCGTTCGCGTTGAGCACTTTTGTAAAAGCTTAAATTCCTGCCCTTGATGCTTCTTCGAGCGTCAGCAATGCGCATTAATCTCAATCTACGTTTTAATCTTCCTTTGTTTTGAAATACAGTTCTTTCTTCGAGTTTAATTGCCATTATGTGTTAATATTTCATTGATTTTTTATCACGTCCTGATCAATCCGGACAGCTTTAACAGTAGCGATGGGGACAGATTGTGCAAGACCGATCGAAGAAATTTATTTAGCTTTCAATGAATAACCGAATAACCATAAGTTTATTATTATGAAAATCTTCACATCTATATGCATTGGCTGTTACAACATTTATGCCAATTCCGTGTGCACTGAACCCCAAAATTGCGTTTCAGATTTGGGTACAGAATTCTTGCATCCTTATTTTTATTATTCGCTTACAATTGTGTTATTTCATGATGAGTAGACGCTTCTTGTAACCCGAACAAATCGAAGCTGTGATTCCGCAACTCACTTTAACCATCATCGATGTCTACGTTGTCATTGCACGTTTAAAATTTATTCACCTGCGGAGATGAAAATTTATATATGTCTTCTGTTTTTAATATAAATTAAAATAACGATGCGGTGAATTCTTAAGCTGTTCATGAAGTTTTGTTGCACGTTACTGGTGTTGTTTGATCGATGATTGTCTCATCCAACACGGTTCTATATTACACTGTTAAATTTGTTGTTTTTCTTTATAGAATTCTTTATTCGCTCCAGTGTGAAGATCAGAAGCATTCACGAATCGCCCGGAATTGTTCGTTTTGGTCGCGCGCTGCGTGGGGGCCTTTGATCGAACAGACGTCGTTGGTCGCGCGCTGCGTAGGTGCCTTTGATCGAACAAACGTCGTTAGTCGCGCGCTGTGTAGGTGCCTTTGATCGGACAGACGTCTGTCGCGCGCTGCGTAGGTGCCTTTGATCGAACAAACGTCGTTAGTCGCGCGCTGTGTAGGGGCCTTTGATCGGACAGACGTCGTTAGGATCGCGCGCTGCGTAGGTGCCTTTGATCGAACAGACGTCGTTGGTCGCACGCTGCTTAGGGGCCTTTGATCGAACAGACGTTGTTGCATGGTTGCGCGTTGCGTAGGTGCCTTTGGTCAAACAGACGTCTTTGGTCGCGAGCTGCGTAGATGCCTTTGATCGGACAGACGTCGTTGGTTGCGAGCTGCGTGAAGAGACGAGGAACCTTCTTTGACCTCTCAGATGTGTGCCCGTGTTAATGATAGTAATATAGAAGCAAAGTGGTCGAATAAATCCACAATTTTTCATCGAACTTCATGGCGACTCAAGTCTATTATAATACTATTCCTTTTGCTAAGTAATCTCTTGTTGGATAATACTGATAAGGTATTCATAGATGTGAATATTAAAAAATCACCAGAATGACCATAAGATAATTAAAAACGCACTTCCATAAATTTGTTAGTATCTTGCTTAGTACAACACTAGAGACTTACTGTCTGAGAAACGTCCTCTGACAGATGGTGGACTGCTTAGGAAAACTGTCGTGTTTGTTCCGTTAAGGTCATTAAACCTTTAAGCATTTGGAGTGCAGCCACAACCGTTACTGTTTAGACGTGACACGCTCCGCCACGAGCCATACTTAACGTACTGACGTCAACAGCTGTCCCTTACACTCACGAGTGCGCAGCACGACCAATGTGATGACTAAACTATTTTAAATTTAACTACCATTTAGTGATCTGTTCGCCGTATCAGGAATAGGGTGTTGTATGAAGATAATTCACCTGTACGATGCACCATTACACGTGTTACATGAAGGCAACCGTTCCAGCAATTTGTATCTGTCATTTATATTTTTTTATAAGCATTCTCGTTTATGTTTTCTAGTTTTGAGTATGAATTTTAATTGATGTACTTAATATTCTCATGTATGCATCTTGGCCTCTAATCCTACTAAAACTTTAACTGGTTTTTCCTTCACAAATATTTAGCATTCACCTTCAAGGCAGAAACACTCAAGACTAAAGGTAATCAATTCCTGCCTTAGTAATCTTAGCCTGAGTTTTTAATGAGAGCATACACGTACATTTTACTCAGACTGCAGAATTTTTAGGTCATCAGAACTCTCACGTTTCATCATAAACAAGATATTAAAGTATATGATGGATGCCTTATGAAAGCTTCTCCTGACGAATTGCTCCAATTTAACCGCGGGAGAGAGCACAAGCGTCCGGCTTCCTTCTGATGTTCCGCACTTTGCTCGGATTGCCTCGTTTAGCAATGCTTTCCCCGAACAGAAGAACGAGAACTTGAGACTTCTTGTGATACATCGCAGCATAACAAGCTTCTTAAATGCATAAACTTTCTCTGAATACGATTCTCTGAGAACAATGAACCTTTTTGTTCGATATTTAAAGTATCCGTTATTGTAAAGTTTCCGATATATCGGTGAAGTCGAGTTTACTCAGTTCTACCGTACATTTTTTTTGCATCTGTGCATTCAGCATAGATTTCATATCTAAATCAATTGATTAATCTAAATCAATTGATCAATTAATAATATATTGATGGGAGAATCGATTTTTTTAAATTTTCCTCCTAAAATTTGTTTAATTTTTCGATGAATCCCGAAGAATCGACCAGACTGGGTTACTTTTTCGGATGTAAGAGTCATTATTTGTCCTCAGAATTTTTTTCTCACTATTCCGAGCCATTCCACGTTAAACCATACCAGAGACTCTTCACTAACAGTTCGTTGGTGTTAATCGGCTTTTTCACTATGCTAGCTACACTTCACAATAGGTTTGTAAATGTCAACCGGTTTCCCAAATATAACCCGTGGTTGCGCTTATACCTTTGACCTCGGGCTTCAGAAAACGTACCATTTCAATGGAAAACAGAGCGCTCCTGCACACGATAATAGCGACATCTGTTGAGCAGACTGTATATCTTCTTAAATTACGTGCAGTACCAGCTGTCAGCTGAGAACCACTGACCTAAATCTGTATGTGTTTGCCTAGAAAGAGGAAAATGGAGAAAACTGAGTTTCGGGCTCATGATCAACCTAAAACCAAACGTATCCATGGAGAATTTTAGAACTCAGCCTCAGGTCTTCCTCTCATGAGATGCGAATGCTTAGTCCAAACATTGTTACAACTTAAAACATGAACTGTACGTTGCAAGACTTCAAGAATCAAATATGCTCAATGATATTTTAGTACATATAATTAAACTTATTCTCTGCGTTAATGGAGGTCTTTTCATGCCTGCTAACCTCCGTATAATTATAAATCGCAAAATTAATGCAGGCTATTGTCAGAGTCCGTCCAAAACTCAAGAAAAGTTGTGCTCGCGTTCATGCGTCGTGTTCATTCGGGAATAACTACGTCATTCACCGTTTTATGAGTATAGTACAGCGCGGTAAATCAAATGAGTAAATCTTTGGCCTAGGACAAAACATTAGTACACCCATGTCATGGGCCATCACATATGAGTACACCTATGCCAAGGCCGTATTTCATGCATAAATCCATGTCACAGACCATCTCATGAGTCTATGTCACAGGCCTCGTCCTATAGGGTCATAACTACATCATTGTCACTATCTATCACATGAGAATATAATAGTAATATAATATAATCGCATGAGTATGAGTATAACATTTAGGGCCATCGCATATTCATGCCACAGGCCGTCTCATGAGGATATCATGAGTCATGGCTAATCATATGAGCATATCCATGTCACCGCCAATCACATGAGTAAGCACTCACAATGGACCGTTGCCTGGATATTCATGCATTCATATGGAACTCTCCCGTATAGAGTTTAGCTGGAATTATGGAGGGCGGGAACCATCGTGCGGCGTACGGCCCAGCGCGCTCTGATAAACCACGTGATGACGAGACGGCATAAGAAGTCCATTAAATGGATCTGGGTTATGGCTTAGGAGCTTCTTCTGCATGCTTATTTATAGAAAAGTTTATGGAGCGAAAAGCTTATGGAATGAATTGCTAATGGAGCATGATGCTCCTTCAGCATGCTCATGGAGCAGGATGCTCATGGAGCAGGATGCTTATGGAGCATAATGCTTATAGAGTACGGTGTTTATGTTTCATAACGTAGTTCAGAGTCAATTTATCGAGCAATTCATTATATTATTGATTTCTTAAACATAATTAAACATAAGTACATATTAAAATAGTTCGTTTTTACCTAAGTATTGTGATATGAAGCAAGAGAAATTAGAGTGTTTACTAAGTATAATATCATGGCAAAGAGAACAAAATGTCTTTGAAATGATTGAATGATTTAAAAAATGAAACATCATCTAATAGGAGCCGAGACATCGCTTCCATCTGTTGAAACTGTGGCTGAACTGTGGCGCAGTTTCATTTTCTGAAACTCTGTCAAACCAAGACCCATTTACGACTAATTGGTTGTAAAAAATCTACAGGAAGTTGGAAAATCTCCAACAAAAATACTTCAGATTTATCTTGACGTACAATAGAATGAGTGCCGACTGATATATACGACCGGAAATGTATTGTGTTTATATCTATACTCTGAATGTATTGCTTGCGGCGCCATTTCCATTGAATTTTATTATTTTTCGCGCAACGATTCCAGTGATATGAGTCATAAACAATTTTAATGTTATTGTCGTTAGCAGCCTATTACATTGCGTCGTTTCATTACTAGTTAAAACGCATTACTATTTTTGATGACGTATGTATCAATATCGAATTTGTCCAATCGCAACCATTGCAAATTATAATTCATTATGCTGTGCTAAATTTTCAGGACCAAATTTCTCGCGAAAGCTGATCATTAACAAAATTTCCTTCAACAACTTATAATTAAAGTCATGTCCTTCTTTTTTAAAATATTAATAAATGAAAAATTAACGTTGATTCCATGTTACGGCTCAGATGTTGCGGTGTCTGGTGCTGGTAGTGGTCGTGTGTGCCGCCTCTGGGGCGACCACTGGGCAGCGGCATTCTATTAAATGTTTATTAAACAATAGAATTAACGTTGACTTCATGTTATGGCTCAGATGTTGCGGTGTCTGGTGCTGGTAGCGGTCGTGTGTGCCGCATCTGGGGCGACCATGGAGCAGCGGCAGACGCGATACCATCCCGCTGCTGAGGACCGGGATGGTGCACATCACGGCGGCGGTGGTGGTGGTGGTGGTGGTCATGGTGAACGTGGTGCTAGTTCACACCACAGTAGTGGTGGTGGCGGTGAGTAAACACACACTAGCGGCGGTCACGAGAAACAGAATAGAATGAGTCATATTCCAAAACTTGAAGTCTATTAAATTTTGCCGGCTTGGTGGAAAAATCTATTGAAGAATTCGTCATGTCATTAGTTGTTGAGCAGAGATGTGCAAGGTGAGATTCGCACTTATCCCATATTTTCATATGCTCATTTGCTCGCAGTTTGCCACAGTTTAATTAATTTCATGAAAAACACCTTTAGAAGTCTCTGCAATTATATCCACTTGCTAATTTAAATCATTTAAATGTGTTAACAGACAGCTAACGTTTCTGTGCGTTGGTTTTTACTGAATTATTCTTATACCTTCTAGTCTCGTCAATTTAAGTAAGTGATGAAAACTATTTTATTTCCTTAACACTTAAAATAAATAATATTATTTAACTTAAACCCGTTGAACCTCAGGTTCTTCGTACTCTGCACCAGCGCACTCACCAGCAGCGGCCGCACCCGCCGCGTCCTACAGTGCAGGCGGTGGCGGGGGTGGGGGCAGTGACCAGGGTAACCTGTACTACTATTACTACCCTGTGGATGAGTACGGTAACACCGAGGCTTCCGATGCTGGTTTTGATATCTTCACGGCCATCATCCTGCCCCTGGTGATTCTTGGGGGTCTGCTTCTGGCTCTTTCATCCTTCACGTTCACGTTCACGGGACGCGCGATGAGAGACAACGCTGAGCCAGGGATCGTAGATCAGCTACAAGGAGAGGTAGAGAGGATTTTCTACATCTACCTCAATGCTTTCGAGTCCGAGGCGTGCATCCAGAGGGCTGTGTGTCAGACCGGAGTCTACGCCAGCACTACCAAAAACAAGGACTTCTACTTCAGGTGGGTGTCCTTTTTTATTATCTACAGTACGGAATAAACATCCAGAGGCTCTTTAATAAAAAAAATTATTAAATACACGTAGCGGCCAATTTGTCGCCTGTTATTGATGGGTTTCGCTTGAAAATCCGTCAAGGATTTACTGACGGAGTTTAGGAACTCGTTAGTATATTATATATATTTATGAATATATATTTAAAGCACTGCCCCACGTGAGACAGTGGATTAAAATTAACGTCAGCATGTATTTTTTAAAATCTCATTGAATTTATTTCTGATATTTGGTATACAGTCCAGTTTCGTAATAAATTTTCCACTTGCTCTCAAGTTGCACAGCTAGTCACGCTTAATCACTTTGTCAGTAATATTTTCTGAGAATTGCTTAAGTCTCGTAAGGAGTTAGATAAATTTGTTGCGCGAACGCTATTTTTTACGATGTTTTGATACGTTTTTTCATGAAATTCAAAATGTTGAGATGATTTGAAAACTACTTTAACGCCAACGATCCTGCTCCTTTTTACCAAAAAGCGTGCTGAATGTGATTGAAACACTCATTCATTCCTTCAATGTACAATTACTCAGGTTTCCTATTCCCAACGCCCGTGACTTTGTGGGAAGACATAATTAGTGTCGAGTTCTTGCTTCTCGTTATAACAAGCGCTGTATTTGTCACTAGAAACTGTACGTTTCTCGCCGAGCTCTCGCCTGGGAAGCGTGAAGACTTTGTTATTAGAACGTCGCTCGCTGCGACATCTGCCGCCTATAATGAAAGCAGTCGGATGACAGCAATTTGCGCTGCTTGTATAGTTAGTCTATTAGCATATGTGTATTTTTGTACGATGTATGTTTAATGCTACGTGGGTGTTGCATGCGTTAGGCTGGGTGAGAGTTAGTTTCGGCGTTGCAAGCGTTAGGCTGTGTGAGAATGTGTGTGTTGCAAGCAACAGGCCGTGTGCGAGTGCGTGTTGCAAGCGTTAGGCTGGGTGAGAGTTTGCATGTGTGTTGCAAGCGTTAGGCTGGGCCAGAGTTACCATGCGTGTTGCAAGCGTTGGCTGGGTCAGAGTTACCATGTCTGGTCTGAGTTACCATGCGTGCTGCAAGCGTTAGACTGGTCTGAGTTACCATGCGTGTTGCAAGCGTTAGACTGGTCTGAGTTGCCATGCGTGTTGCAAGCGTTAGGCTGGTCTGAGTTGCCATGCGTGTTGCAAGTGTTAGGCCTAAGCAGGCGCGTAAGTGTGTCAAGGCAGCCCCAGAGCCCTCAGGCCCCGGACGTCTGCCGAACCAAGGCAGGTTGCCCGCGAACTCCGGCGACCTCAGCCCGGCTTTGTGACGCATTTAAAAATAAAAAATTCGCTAAAATAAATAAAGTCACCGTATTATATTTTATTATGATTATGATTATTATGATAATGAAATCACATTTTCAACGTGTGTTCAGAGAGTTTCGAACGTAAATCCAGTCGTCTTACTAAATGCTTCATTGTTCGATATCCCTGTAATATTCCACTGAAAGTTGTTCTTAATGGAAGAATTTGAAGCTGATTACTTTCTTCAATGCCAAAGCTCCAGAAATTTATCTCGGAAATGAGTTATATCCCTATTCATAAACTAAGAATATAAATAGGGTTAAACTGCTAACTTTGAGTTTAACAATATTGTTCATGTCAGATGCTACTTTTTCTCTGTAACTTTCCTCTCCCGTTTGAGGTATAGAATCTCTCATTTATGACTTGGCGTGCAAAGATCTCATTCACATTGAGAGAACATCTTACGATTGGAATTAATGTCGTCGGAGCGTGCGCTGGAAGATAGCTTTGAATCTCGACTTGATATGTGACCATTTTTAACTACCTCATAAGAGTCAGTCTGCGTAAAAGCTACACGTGCCAATGCGTGTCAGTTTTATATTATTGTCTATATCTTATCGCAGTATGCATTTTAGTTTTTTAGTGTGTTTCTGTGTTGATATGCTTTTGAGTATAGCTAGTGTTAGGCCTGGGAGGGGAATATATAGGGAAATTTCAAGCGAGATTTTCGCATTACCACTAGTATAAATTACGTATAAAATTAACATATGTGCAATACACAACATTAACTGTCGTGTAGCGACTGTCATTATTATTATCATCAAAAATTTTATCCTTTTTGCTAGAAGCTGGGGGGCTGGCTGAAAGAGGATTGGATTAAAAATTAGAATTTGTTTTGAGCTTCAAGATGAGTATAAGTGTATTTCATAGTAAAATAAAAAGTTGACATTTCCCTTATATTTCCAAGCGGGTTTGAAAAGGGGTAATTATTTAAAAAGGATTTAACTGGTATTCCTTCAATAAATATTTATTACATTAAAAAAATGATTACGACAGCTGGAAAGGGATTTGGTGATTAGACATCAAATACTTCGCATCATAATTTTCCAGTTAGTTAATTATCATAAACTAGTTACTTTATGTAAAAACTCATATTATTTCTGGAAATCCTTATCACCGAGTAATAATACGCAGCAAGTAAGATCAATTGAATATCACTTCATAATTTTACCATAGTTTTTTCACGTATACTTCCACTCCTAAACTATTATTCGTTCACGGTATAAGCTAAAAATTTCATCGCTTAACTTTCAGCGCGGGTGTGGTTGCCTGGTTTGTCGGTAACGTAACTGGGAACCTTTCTGGTGACGAAGCAATGTCAGCGTGACGGCTCAATCCTTCATGCTGATATTGTGAAGCGTTATAGTCATGCTCGTCTTGAGAGATCTATCCTTTCACTATATACACGCTCTTTGAATTGCGTTATCTTTAATTAATGATGAACTCAGAGTTATTAGTGTGCAGTGATTATAAATTAACGAATATTGCATGCTATTATGCAATAATTTCTTCTATTGATGATGTATGTCTGAACATTCTCAAAACAAATTTTTTAGGAATGATAAATGTGAAAATATTAAACTGTCATCGGCCATGTTTTACACTCGATTATTCATTAAGGCCTAATTCAAGATCACAGCCGTTACTTTCTCACGATTAATAAAACTTAATAATCTTATCTGAATTCCGATAACGATGGTCAACTCCCGACATGTCTTTGGTGCGAGTATCGGAGAAGTCCCGCGGATCCCAGTGCATAGTCCGTATATCGTCACGAAACTTTACAATACCAACTTTTGGGTCGAAACACATATTCAAGTATATGTATTCATTTGTGGATATGTGTTGAATGATTCCCTCTCTGTCGCAACTCCTCCGCGATCCTATATTTCCAATATACATGTAACGCGCTGAACTCTTCGCCCGGTACTGTCAACAGATTACAAAAAATCAATTTTGATTCATCTAGAGCCCAAATTTATTGGTCATTATAGCTCGCACAATATTACAGCTTGGGATTTTAGTACGACTATTTTTAAACTGTCGCATTACAGAGCCCGGAGCGGCATCATGACAGTTTTCAAACCTTCACATCACGAAGGGAAACTTCGATATTCCTGCTGTAGGGGAATATTTATTTCTAGAGGATACATACCATAACATGCACAGCATCGGTCACGATATCCATGTTGTGAAAAGTTATATCATGACCGGCCTCGATTTTCAAGTTATGAGATATGAAATATATAATTTCTCATGATATGAGAAGTCATATCATGAGAAATTATATCGTGGCCGGTCACGGTATGCAGGTTATGAGAATTCATATCATGACAAGTTATATCGTGAACGGTCACGGTATCCAGGTTATGCGAAGTCATACCGTGACAAGTCATATTAAGACCCGGTCACGATATCCATGTTATGAGAAGTCATATCATGACCGGTCACGATATCCATGACGTGAGAAGTCACATCATAACAAGTTATATTATGACTGGTCGCGATATCCATGTTATGAAAAGTCATATCATGACCGGTCATGATATCCATGTTATGAGAAGTCATATCATGACCGGTCACAATATCCATGTTATGAGAAGTCATATCATGACCAGTCACGATATCCTTGTCATATGAGAAGTCATATCATGACTGGTCACAATATCCATGTTATGAGAAGTCATATCATGACCGGGTTCATGTCGACCACAGACCTCCAGCTTTCTTGCGCTGCTCACGGATTGTCGGAGTTCGGTAGTAATTGCGCTAGTGAAAGCCGCCACTTTCCGTCCCGCGCGCGTCGTACGCTAGACTTACGGTCACTAAACTACGTATATTCTCGAGAAAGCTGCTTTAATAACTCATGTGAGTGCAGCTTTTAAGAGCAGCGAACGATTTTATGACTAGTGAGGTTGATGCATGAACATAGAGACTGCATCTGATGTGGAGATTACGTGTAAATTTTTAGGAGTTCCGAATGCGCTTTGTAATTGTATAAACAGTCATGACTTCCAAGAATAATGTAAATACTGCTTCTGCTTTTAAGTTTCTTCGTATAGGCTTGCTTTTATGGAAAGAATTAGTCTTGCTTCTTCAGCGATATTTATTATTAATCATCATTGATAAAAATAAAAAGCTTTAATATTATAAGCAAATAACCCCATAAACCAAGCGGTTTTTCTTACTACTCATTGTAGATAGTACAATGAAATAGGATTTGTATGCATCAAAGCCCTACTCCCTTCTTTCGAACTTCCGAATGCTTTATTTTGAAATGTATTAATTTTCTGAGCTTTATTATTCACACTAATATATTTTTATATCATAATGCAACTTAAAATGAGTAAATTTTTCCATCTTACGAGTGCTTGTATCGTCAAAAAACGATCCTGCATTTATTTATTAATTTCTTTACGATCTTTATTGATTTTATTCAGAATGTTCAATTCTTGTACCAGTCATATTTTACAAAATTTCAGTATAATACTTTGATTTCTTGCGTAACCTTTGTTGTAACGAATCAAAGTTTCTAAAGTTGAATTTTTTTCCAGTTTGGTGGAACCCTTCATCCCTGAGACGATGAGAGGCAACATGGCGATATTCAAGACGGCCGCCAAGGATGGATTTGACATGGGCAAGTGCACGAAATATCGCTGCACCGCCCCCAAAATTTTCAACTGATGACACAATTACATCCATAACTCCACTTCAGTCTTAGTCTCCAATGATACACGGGTATAAAAATGCATAAGCTGCATTATTGTTCCTAAAAGAAATTAGCTTCCCGTGAATTTTTTTTTGTCGTCACACGATGAACAATAATGATTTGATGTGTACAAATTTCCTCAAAAATTATCGAAAGTTTTATCAAGGTTCAACAGTCGATTTATTAAATATAATATAAAAGAAATTAAGAACGTAAGCACGTTGCATTTCGTAAGAGTTGCTCTCTCCTAAAGAGACTTTTGGTCTCGCTTTAACAATGACCGAAGATTCTGGGTATTGATGTCATACTTAGATTTTAAGTTCTTATACGGCATCGAAATCTAGCTTAAGTTATTTATTGAATAGGGATACCATTTTTCCTCTCATTCGCTAAAAAAATGGATTAGTTTCTTAAAATTAGATTTATTTCGAAAGTAAATGTGTAATTTAGTTGAGCTATGATTCAGTATCATTCCATTAATCTAGCGACATTTCTGCAGCGTGTAGAATAAACGTTCTGATAAGACGCCGAATTTTTATTGCCTCTGCTTCTGTGCCTACATCGCATGCGTCACATGGTGCACACACATCGCATGGTGCACATGCATCACATGGTGCACATGCATCACATGGTGCACACACATCGCATGGTTCACGTGCATCGCATGGCTTACATGAGATAGTGTTCGTTAGCCACTAACATGCGTTCATTCCATAGGTGATTGAGTTAATAAAAATATTGAGTGATGAAATTCAATTAAAATTTTTAATAGAAATTACTATACATTGTTCCGCCATTCAAATTCCACACCTGATCCGCTTTTAAAAAATCTCATTTCATTAAAACTAAGAAATATAAAACGAAAAAGCATTTGAACTGAACCCTTAATTAACTCAAGGCCTCCATCATGGGAATTTTTATTGGAAATAATTGTAGTTGATGAATTTTATTGATGTTATCATAATATTCAATATTCTCTACCGATGTTCATTTCATTCGGCTGCGGACGTTGAGTAAGTATCCCAACTGGCCGCTATCTCATGAGTCACATGGATTACGAGCGATATTACAATCAATCAGTTAATAAAATGTTCCAATCGATCATGATAAAATTTTATTGGGTCAAAAATTTTATTGGGTCAAAAATTTACATTGTAGAATATAGCAAGAATGGAATCACAGTAAAATTGTAAATTTTGATTAAATTTCGCAGACCTTTGTTGGTAATTTATACGTAAATGAATACGGTGAGACAGACATGAATTTATTACGAGACGAACTTTAACTGAACATTAAGTCGAGGGTTATACACCTTGTAGCTCGTGACGCTTATGAAAATATTAATTTCCTTTCGAGCGTTGAAGTGACAAACTGGTATCGCATTCACGAGATTAAATTGATAAGATAAGCTGTGTTATCGCGCTTCTCTGGCGCAGGCATCTGATATGAAACCGACGCTTGAACCTGGACCCAGAGTGGTACAGTTTGCGACCGGTGAAGGTGAATGATTACCAGCGTCCTTACGTTACACTAATTTGAACATTTAATTATTCTGTAGCGTATATACAATCTGGTAATCTTTATGTGAAACTTACTCGCAATGTTCTGCTCATGAATTATTAATTGTAACTTGTCGTCAACGTTGATATTTGATGTCGAAATAATACGCCAGTGAGCGGTAAAGAGAATTCAAGATATTCTCATGTAATTTTCATCAAGTTAGTATTGGCATCACGTTCAAAAATTTTGATTCATAAATACAAATGTAAGAGCAAATCACGGTTCATCAAGTTACCATCAATAGGTTCTTTACGTCATACCTAATTTCCTTTAAGTCTCTGAATCCTAATCCCTAGTTTGAAATCAAACAATATTTAATAAAAAAATTTATACCAAAAAGATACGTCTGACGCCAAAACTTGTTCCAGTTACTTACATTTCACTCATTCAAATGCAGTCTTTGATAACAAAAAGTTTATTTTGTTGCCTAGAAATATATGAAGGAGGGCGAATCTGAAGTTTAACGATTTCTCGAATTAGGAATAAGGAAAGATGTTTCGAGTCATCGTCCTGAGCTGCTGCTTGCTGGCAATCGCAAGACAAGGCGCCGGAAGCTATCAAGAAGTCACTAGTCTCGCCAAAGCTCCTATTGCTCATTACGAAGATATTTCAATTGATTTCAACGGCAACGAGAAAAGAAGCGTACAAACTATCATACCGAAGGCATCATCACAAGGTAAGTCATGGCTTGCTATCTTCTGTAGTCAGTCTATGAATGAGTCAGTGTATACACTCAGAGAGAAACGAGTAAGATTTTTTCCAAATATCGATGCGCTTTTTGCCTTCGTGTGGATGACCAGTTTGGTCCAGAAAAAAAGTGTATCATTGCTACGTCCGCCCTCTTCTCCTGCTGGGAGTAGGAAGTTTGCCATTACAAGTACAGTGACCAATTTTTTCTATTACAACTATTTGTAAATGAATAGTTTATTGATTGTCAATTTAACTCCCGGTTCTTATTTGAAGGAGAATATCACCGGTTACAAATAATGATACAGTGCAACCACATAGTGTTGCTAAATTGATTTTATATCCCATACATCAGAAATTGAATTTTCCATGCACATATTTTGGGTTGAACTGTAATCCATTAATTTTATATATTATACACTTTACGCTCTATATATCTGTTGACTGATCTCTGTATTGGCATATAGATTTTATGTACATGCATAGAGCATGTACAATAGGTACTAGTAGTACATAACATAACATAACATAACATAACATAACATAACATAACATAACATAACATAACATACCATGACATAACATAACATAACATAACATAACATAACATAACATAACATAACATAACATAACATAACATACCATAACATAACATAGCATAGCATAGCATAGCATAACATAACATACATAACATAACATAACATAACATAACATAACATAACATAACATAACATAACATAACATAACATAACATAACATAACATAACATAACATAGTGATCTCGGCCGGATCTTGTCATCTCGTGTCATTTGACCGGATCTTTTCACGACTGACGAAAGTTTGAAGAAGCTGCTCGACTTCCACCGGGTTCGATAAGGAGCTAGGCATTTCAAATCTGAACATATATTTTTCCATAGCTTTATCTAGTCTGTTCTTGAAAGCGTTCCAACAATTGGAGCGCCAACGATGTCATCGGGAAGGCTGTTCAGTGAAAGAGGCTGTTTAACGAACGGTAGATGGTCGATCGAACAGTCAAACCTGTTCCTGTTGCGACAAGGCATTTTGATTAATAACATTCAAAATCTGGCTTTGTTGGTATAAACTTGAGGCATAAAAAATGTTATTGAATATTTTAGTATATGTGATGGTATAAGAAAATTAATTAAAAATAAAATTTGAATACAATTCTCTTAGAAGTAGAGGCAGCGGTGATGACGGTTTCAGTCGCGATTTTTGATCATTTCCTGATTGAGTTTCTGTGACTGTGTATGGAGATCAAGAATGTGGAGATCGATCAGACCCATGGTTGAACTAATTCATGATTGAAGTAATGTATTAGTTCCATTATGGTTCAGAATAGCATCAATTTAAGCATGCTTAATGAAGATTATGAAGAATCCGGAGACTTAGCATGAGAGGGATGAGCGTGATGAGTATAATGAGCGTCTTGTATCAAATGACTGGTACATGGGTGCTTTTTTCTTCGTCCTAGGGCTGTCACCTTAAGACCCATTTGCACGTTCATGTTCGTTTTGACATTGAATCATAGGGAAAAACACATGATCGAAAAATCTACTAGAGAAAATATTATTTTGTATGAATTATAACTACAGAGCGACGAGGTATTAACTTCACGAAATTATAGTCAGGGTATTTTCCTTTTTATTATGTCAACATTTTCGAGATTTGCGGCCGAGTGCAACGAGGAGCCAACTAGCAAGGACAACGTCGAAGCAAATGCAAATGATGCTCTTCCATGATTTACAGGACGTTTGCATGACATTTAATGCACCCTTATCTTCTTATCCATCCGCGTCACAGATATGACACTGAAGTCGGGTTTTAGGATAGGTTTTGTAAAATGAAACTGAGGGAAATTAGCACTGGCACATGTCAAGTGCCGGCATTCCAGCACCTCACATAAGTTTTAAATGAATAATTCTCAAACTCAGTTTCCATCTTGTAGAAAATATGCTAGGACACATAATTTTTAATATGCAAACTTTAAACCGGGGCCTAAGGTTGCCTAATATGCACAAATTTTGTTGCACTGCGATTAAAAATAAGTAGAGAATGGAAATGAACGGTATTTTACGAAAGTAAGCACTTAGTTAACATCAGCCACCTGCATTCTGACGGGGGATGCTCCTTGGTCAGGTGCTTAGGATGAATGAACATGGTAACTTGAAATTCAATAGGTTTCCGAAGAAGTCAAGGAACCTATCAAAACTATCAAACAATCCAATAAGCTCAATGTTAAAAGTCGTCTCTGCTTTGAAGTTAACTTGTACCTGGAATAACCTGTCTGATATATGATAATAACACTTGGGTTAAAATGATGATCCTGTCTGTGGTTTGAGCTGGGCAGAGTGGCCCAGTGCCAGTGGTTACAGTTCAGCAGAGTACCAAGAATGGCGCAGAGAGGTGCGGGTTCGAGACCGCAAAATGCTGTAGGTAGATGTTCTGCGATGTTAAAAATCGGCGACAGGCCTACGGCCTAATAAACACTGAAATAGCTATTATTATTATTATTATTATTATTATTATTATTATTATTATTATTATTATTGACCATTTTATATGATAATACTACAATTCACGATGCTGTTCTGTATTAAGTGCTACGGTTGCCCTAGTATCGAAATCATGACTTGCAAATAAATTCATGCCAATACGTAGGTATTATTTTAGGTTTCAAAAATCATCATTTCATCTGCTTGCCATATATGCATTACACAAATTAAACTTGCCAGCAACCGGGCATTTGCAGTAAAATGAATTATTTTTACTGAAAAGTTTTGCATAACTACTGATTAGACCAATTCAGTCTTAGTAAAAAGTAAAAGAAATAAATATCAAATTACACTAAATAATATAAAGTGTCTCGGATTCATGTTATAGACTTCTGATGAACACTAGACAAATATGTTCACCATAAATCATTTGGAAACATGGACATAGAGAAAATAATATAAGATAAATTAAGTTTTTCTGTATTATATTAAGACAAAATTACCCAGAACAGTTTTCATTCCGATCAAGATGTCAGAACTTTGAAGCTGAAGTTCTATTTACAAAATCGGACAAACACCTAGTATTTTCCCGCCAAACTTGTAGCACTCTTGCACCGCATCTGTTGTAACTTCTTGTCCCTCGCCAGGCTACAATTATTAAAATTTCGTCAAAATGGGAGCTGTTGCTGATATTGTTGTCGATCAGAGACTAAGAGATATTCAAAGAGAATATCTGGAGTTCTTGGAGGATGAGGTAAGGTTAAGTGCATACCATATTAATGATTCCCTATCTAAGCCAAGCGTGACTTAGTTAGTTAGTAACAACGTCGTCAAACCTACGTTATTTATTGTATTTAAGTTTTGATGGTAAAACATGGAAAAATATGCGGAATAGTTCACTGATGAATTCAAGGTATTTAATAAACAGTTTATACCATGTTAAATTGGAAAACCTGAAACAGATTTAGGTTTATAGAATAATGATGTTGGAAATCAGTTCGGACTTCTGTCTTCTGTTAAAAAATCAAGAATAGGCTAGCCTACATGTAAATTCAGTTGATCAACAAAATTTAGATGCTATGGATTCAAACTTGAATAGTCAAATACACAAAGTAACGGAATTTTGCAAATATATTGTTGAAAAGATACTGAAAACCTAAGAAAGAAAGGCTATTTTAAAGAATTTGTTGGCAAGCTATTTTTGCAATTCAATGATCCTTGTCTTGAAATCAGTTTTGGCCATCACTCCTCAGTACCTACAATCCTACATTGCATTGTTCAACATGTGTATGCTCAGCAAAATGGAGTGGGTGCTGGTGGCTGGGGCTTGGGTGGGCACCAAAATGGATAATTGAGCTAAAGCCATCCACAAATTAGACAAAAAGGCTAATGTGCACAGCCAATTTCACTCATTTCTATCATATTCTATGTTCCTTTCATTTTTTTTAAATACACATTTCGACTTGCAGTCTTCCAAAATCACCTACAAAATACTTGTTTTTGCCCAGCATTTATGGCAAATTTGCATAATATTTCAAATTATTCTGAAGATCTGGGTTAAAGCCACCCATGCACAAGCTACCCAAAGTAACAAACGAGAATTTTTTAGAATTAGTTCATTCTTAGTTTCCTCATCTTAGTCATCTAATCAATATTCTTTCAATTTCTTATAGGTACATGATAAAGGTGGTACAGTAAAATGTGGTAACTTTGACCACTTTTTTTCATAATGATGCTATTTTTTTACTAGATAAGTTAACCTAAAATTGAAACATGCAGAATACAGGTCTATAGCCTACTCTAGCTTTACTCACCATAAATTGCTGGCTCCTGCCTCATAGTTTTTATGTAATTTAAAAAAAGTGATGGTCTTTGTTATCCCAGCTCTTGGGGTTTCTTTGACCGGGTGGTAAAATCAATTTTATTTTTTGGTAAAATAACTCCAGGTTGTGGTGCATTGTAGTAGAACTCTTCTAGTTACATATGCAAAAGACAAATTTTAGGAAAGTGTCATAGTTTGCAAATGGGGGGTGCCACCCCCCAATGGGCAAAATGTGACCACCTAATGGCAGCCATGACGGGGTAACATTGACTGGTTTGGAAATTAAGTCAAAATTACCATATATAAGACTCTGTAGAGTCTGAAACATAAAGTAAAAAAACATTAATAGATGTATCAAACATAAAATATGTTATATAGGTACCTATGGTAATTTTAACTTAATTTACAAGCCGGTCAATGTTACCCCCATCACGGCTGCCATTAGGTGGTCAAAGTTCCCCCATTGGAGGGAAACGCCCCCCATTTGCAAAGTATGACACTTTCCTAAAATTTGTCTTTTGCATATGTGACTGGAAGAGTTCTACTACAATGCATCAAAACCTGGAGTTATTTTACCAAAAAATAAAAAATTGGAGTTGGTACTCTGACAGGCTTTGAATAATAGATTTTTTTCGTGGGTCACATTTTTAATTTTTTAACCTAGTAGATATGCAAACTTTTTAAATCTTTCTATTGTGTTACGTAGCCTCAGTATTAGGCCTTTGATGGCCATTGACAAAATTTTTCTATGTCAAATCGTTTTTGAGTTTTGGGGGTTTTTGTTAAAAAAACGAAAAGTGGTCAAAGTTACCCCACTGGTCAAAGTAACCCCATTTTACGGTATGACTGGTATCCAAATAATTATAATTTCTTCCATAAAAAATAAAAATTGCACATTTTTGGATGCATTTCCTAAAATCTCACATCATAGTATATACCTACCATATAATATGTATAAATATAAAATAAATAATTATTTATTACTTTGAAAAATTCTCTATTTGCTTTCATTATCCAAATAAACACTAATGTTCTATTTCATTGACAGGAAGACAATGGAGTGTACACACAGCTGGTGAAGGAAATGATAAATGCTGACAACTGCAGACTGGTGGTCAACATCAATGATCTGAGGAAGAAAAATCCCAAGCGGGTAGCTGGGTGAGTGATGCATTGTTATTATGAATTGATTAACCTCATCCAATTTATATATGTAAAAGGATGGAAGGAACTGCCTCAAATCAGTAATATTTTTGCTGTTCTTCCTTCATCATTTAAAAATAATCCTTGTTGGTTGGAACTTGGACAATTGAAACATATCATGACCATCCCTAAAAATGTCTTGAGTTGCCTCAATTTGGAATTGAGAGAGCATTGATACCTCAAGTGTATGCTAGGTTACCATCACTCACCAGCAGTAAGAGTAATACCTATCCCAAAAAATAATGATTCTAGAGATTGAAATTTACAAGCTTAATCTTTTGTAGTAGGCTAATTTTGAATTCTTTCAAATTTTCTCATTTCACTTGGTTCTTTTAAAAACTTTGAAACCATAAATTGTGTAATATTCTGTTCCATATCATACAACTTCATTATATTTAATTTTCAGTTTGCTGAAATGTGCCTTTGAAGAGCTGCCTGCTTTTCACCGTGCACTGCGAGAGTTTGTGTCTGCAGTTGATGCAACGTATGTCAAGAAGCACGAGGAGCTTTTTGTGGGCTTTGAAGGAAGCTTTGGCAGCAAGCACGTCTCTCCACGCACACTCTGTGCTGGAAACCTGGGCAACCTTGTCTGTGTTGAGGGAATTGTCACTAAATGTGAGCAAACTTGCATATGTCTACTTCCATTGGCAAATTTCTGATTTTATACACGCCTTGTGCTGCTAACATTGACTGAATTTTGTTTGCTATTTGCAGTAAGTTAAATTCATTGGTTCTGAATTTTAATCCTTCCAACAATTGATGAATGACTTTACTTATTAAGGCCAGCATCCTTTACTGTATTGCGGGCATATTTTTCAGATAATATTATTGTCACATGTGCACAAGAAATAGAAAAAAATTAAATTGCCTGTTTTCATTATTCTACTCCACCATTATTCTCTTGCTAAAATAATTCATGCTATGATTTGATTAATATTTCACTGGTACAACCAATTATGTATAAAATAAATTTAATTTGTTGTTGAGCTCAGGTTCTCTGGTGCGACCAAAGGTGGTGCGTTCAGTGCACTATTGTCCTGCCACCAAGAAGACGTTAGAGCGTCGGTACACGGACCTCACCTCTTATGAGGCATTCCCGTCGTCGGCAGTTTACCCAACAAAAGACGATGATGGTAAGGGATTCTTTCTAGCGCATTTTCTCATTTATGAAAATAATGCACTATTGTGCTTGCCATGTCCGTCTGTCTGTCTGTCTCTCCGTCCGTGACCTCAAGTTTTCGTCAACAAGAAAATGCGCTCTCTGTCACTCACTGCAGTGAGTACTTACTGAGTTATATTTTTTAGGCTCTGCTTGTGAAGTTCATATTGAGAACACAAGGAAAAAGACGTCTTTAGTTGAAGTGCATATTGTACCATGTTACTGGTTGTGTAATGATTAAACGAAAATTACACTGAGATTTAACAATATTTTATTCTTATGAAATTCAATTGCATTTCCTGTCTTAATTATAGTAGGAGGAAAAATTTTTGTGATGTTATTTTGCTGCATTATTGCTCGTCAATAACTTGCTTGTGTGTCCAGTGTCCACCTCTTCTAATGCTGGTTATTGCCAGTGCTATGTACTCCTGGTAGTTAAAGTAATGCCTAAGTATGAATGTATATATGGTGGTAGCAAAGATGGATGCCAACGGCTTTGTTGTGAGGTAGGGACTGCTGGGTGTGAATGGATGCTAGACGGGTTGGATGAGTTTAATTCCAAATGTCTTAAGGATCTGTGGAGCACTTGATGGTGGAATGTGAGTGCTTAAGAGACAAGTAGGAGTCTTACTTTTATATTTTTACCCTTTGATGGGATTTTTTCACTGTAAATTCAAGGTATATGGCTATGGCCTACCGATGCAAATGTCTGCCTGAAGTCTCTACTTCCCAATACCATTCTTCCTTTGTAACAATCAGTTCATTTTTCACGCTGACGCCATTGGTATTAGTCTGTTTTAATCGCGTGCGGTTCCATTAATTACGCTTCTTTTACAGTTTTCTTCATGTTACTTATTATGGATCTTCCATATAATTTGCAAAACCTGTAGCAACATCCCTCCATTTATGGGCTTAATCTTAGTAATCACAACATTAAGGTTTCCTTCATTTGCAAAGGATGATATCTTCATCTTTTACATGCACCTATTATCATTAATTTGTTTTTATCTTGAAACTCGCAAGAAATGTTCAAAATATAATACATTCAGAAATAAATCTAAGTATTCAAGCGTGCGGACTTGCGGAATTAATGCTTCACTACATTGCAGGCAATTTGCTGGAGACTGAATATGGACTCTGCACATACAAGGACCATCAAACTATCACTATTCAGGAGATGCCGGAGAAAGCCCCTGCCGGTCAACTGCCTCGCGCTATTGACGTGGTGCTTGACAACGACCTCGTCGACCAGTGCAAGCCTGGCGACCGCGTGCAGGTCTTGCATTGTTATTACTAAACCTTCTTTATGTTATTATTGTAAGGTATAATATAATTAGGTATAATATATTATAATATTATAATTTGGTATAATAAAAGTATAATTAGGTATTACCTCCATTCCACTGTGCTTTCTAGCGCCAACTTCTCGCTTTGTGACATTGCTTTCAAGTGTCTACTTTTTGTATAAAAATAAAGTGTCCAGCTCATGACTTCATTATTATTTTATGTTTATGATTTTTTAGAACCATAATAGCATGTTATAATAATGTTTTGGTGATTTGTAAAAATGTTCTTTGAGGTAATTTTTTGTTCAGTACCGTTTGAAATTTACATGTACAACAAGTGATTCAGGTAACTTCGGAGAATGGATGTGCACTGCAATTCTCTGTTTTATTCATGAATGACAAGGAAGCATTAATTGTCTTGACAGTTCACCATGATAATGAATGCCATGATGGCATTCATCTGAACTCGATCTTAATATCTCTTTAAATCTTAGCTTGAATTCCTGTTTAAGTTAATGGTCTGGTGAAATTGTTTCGTTCTATGGCCATTGGGATTCTAACTACTTTTATCCTGAATGATTGCAAATTGAACGGTGTGGGCAGGTTGTGGGCATCTACAGGTGTTTGCCCAACAAGCAGGGTGGCTTCACCAGCGGCACCTTTCGTACCATCCTCCTCGCCAACAACGTGATACTCATGAGCAAGGAGCTCTCGCCTAACATCAGCCTCGATGATGTCAACAAATGCAAGGCTTTCTCTAAAATGGTAAGACTAGTCTCGCAAAAATCCTTTACACCAAAAATTTATGCTAATGAAATCTCTACGTAAAAAAGAGCAAATTAATTTAAAGTTCAGATGTTGAAATCTTCAAAGTCGCATCATTCTGAATAGCTCTGTGTTCTTGAATTTTGACTTCATTTCTAGTTACTGACATCTTCAACTTTGAATAATTACAGTAATAAGATGGCATATTTTAATTTAACGCCTCCTTGTTTTGTTACTGTCAGGACGGAAATGTGTTTGAGCTGCTGGCCAAGTCCCTTGCTCCAAGTATCCATGGGCACGAGTACATCAAGAAAGCTTTGCTATGCATGCTGCTTGGTGGTGTTGAGAAACATCTTCCTAATGGCACCAGGCTCAGAGGGTAAGAACAATTATTGATAAATAGTTCCAATTAGAGACATGATCCTGGAAAAATATTTCTATTTTGTCTAATTTTCTTCATTCATCACGCCCTGTTTCTGAGAAAATATTTATATATATATATTATTCGACCCCTTTTCTGATTTTTGCCTGAGGTGAGGAGAATAAAATATGATGTTGCTTGTCGCTTGTGAGATAGGTTGAAAAAATGTTACCTTAACCCTTTTCAGCCCCAATTATTTTTTTTCTTGAAATTTCATTTTTTATCAAATTTTTGGTGTTGGCTCTACCTAAGTGATTAGGAAAACGTCTCAGTTTTCTTTTCTCTACAATAGTATTGGTAGAATACGATGTGCCATATATGTACCACTGAGCATATCCAAGTACATTTTTTTTGTTGAAAGAAAAAACAACCGTGTCCGAAATGCACTTATATATTTGTAAATTGACATGTTATATTACAGTTTTAGGATATTGCAAATTTAAAATTAACTATAAAACATAACGTCTTCAATATTTTTTGCAATATTATTCCAAATACTGTAAAATGGCGAAACTAAAACAAATATTTGATCCATCGTGTGAACTACAAATTTTCTAATTAGCGTTACATTATGTTCAAACACATTATTTCAAGTATCAAATTGTGTTCAAATACATAATACTTTAAGTTGGACTTACATGTAAAAGGTAAAAAGCGAGATATTGATCAGAATGTAAATACTCTGAACATATCATTATTTGGTATGAAATGGAAGATTACATGCCAAGCAGAGACCTGCATTACATTTGCAACACTGAACGAAAGGTCTTATCTTACATCCTTCTCCAGCACATCCTTCTTACATCCTTCTTTTGTTGTCTTGTGTTTCTACAAAATAATGTTTTATTCCATCAAAACGAATATCATCTAACACTCGTTTGTCACCCTTTGTTGAGTAGGATGGCGGTCTCCCAGCTCCTTTCAAAGCTTCTTCTTCTCATAGCCTGAGAGACAGCTTCATTTCTTGTCACAGATGAATTTCTCCAAAACATCCTCCGAGAAGATAAAGGAACGATACCAGACACTATCAAAATTCCAAGTAACACTTTCATTTCATCGTTGCTTACCAAGAAATCTGTTCCATCTTTGAAAGTTGCATAGACAATTGTCTGATTCACTAGCAAATTCCACTCATCATCATCAGAAAATAGTTCAAAAAGTTCAACTGGAGTAAAATCTCTATATTTTACATAATTTGCCTCAGGAAATATGCGGTCACCAGGTGTGAGTGAAGTGCCAAGACTACATTTTGGAGTCTTACAGTTATTGCACAGGCGAAGAATTATGAGCCTCACCACCATCTTCAGTAGTACTACGTTCGTCGTGGAAGAAAGCTTCATCATTGCCACTCAGTTGATCTTCACAATCATCTTCAGTCGTACGTCGTCCGTCATTGAATACAGCTTCAGCATTACCAGTCAGTTGTCTGCCGGACAAATTATCCATCAATCCACTATCACTATCCACTTCACCAGCAGAGTCTTCATCAGTCAATAGGCCGGGATCATTAGGCTCAATATAAACGTCTGCATGGCTCTCATCTTCTTCTAATATACCTAATATCTCATGCATAGTCAGGAATCTGAAATATGAAACATAAAATGGACTTAGAACATGCTAGAATTTTGATATTCGTAAATATGTGTACTCAGAAAAATGTACCTGCATTAGCTCAGCGAACCATATATGGCACAGCAAATATAAAAAGATATCCAGAAAAAATAATGCATTAGACAATTTTAAAAGTTAACTGAAGAGGTCAGTTTATTACTTGCTCAACATGTGCAGTTACCAAATGAACCTAGTTATCGAAGAAATGTGCAAAATATACTTACTTTCCCCTGGAAGCCATTATTTTTGGCAGAGCACAGAGACTCTTCTTTTCAACGTGACAGCAGAGCACAAACTGGCAGGCTTAAGGGGTTGTACTCATATGAACATGTTGTAGCAGGTTTGGTGTGCATTTCCAGTACACTTGTTCAGGCTTGTCTCAAGCAAGAGCGATGTATGATGCAATATTACATCATGCTGTTTAATGTACCATATATGTACCACTGAGCTGAAAAGGGTTAAGGAATTAACAGGAAGCAGGGATGTTTGTTTACGGTACACATTATAGTAACAGCAACTAGAAATGTTGCATATATCATTGGCGTGAAGTGTTGTTCATTATTTCAACTTTATCCATATTTTCAATTATTTCCATATCTGTCTTAATAATTAAATTTTCATCTCATCTATAATGCGGCTACATTCTCTGTGCCTGTTACATTAATCACAATTTGCGTGACAAATATTCTTAACTCGTCTATAATTTCATATGCAAACATGGTTGTCTAGTACTGCTTATTTAGTTGATTTACTCAATATTCTGATGGCGCTCTTTTAAACAAACTTTCATAATTAATGTTTTCTTGGCTATTTAGCTTGAATCCTGCATTAAAGTTATTATTGAAAATAATATACGTTTAAAAATTACTTTTTAAAGACAACACTTCCAAAGAATCCAGTATCTCCAATCTTACAGATGTACAATGAATTTCTCATCTAATTTTTGAAAATTAAAAAAATTTATTTTTCAATTTTTTTAATACCCATATATAAATTTTTTTAATATATAAATTTTTTCAAAATTATTTATTCTGTTAATTGACTCATGCATTGCCTCTGACTTCACACAAGTGTGCAAAATTTCATATCAATTAGACAGGTAAAAGTGTGTCAAATATCAGTTATAAGATTTGTAGCTGACAAAATTATTTTTTCATTTTTTTTAATATTTAAAAAAAAAATTTTTTAATTTTAAAAATAATTTATTTCGACATTTGATTCATGCATTGTCTCCAACTTTAAACAAGTGTGCAAAATTTCAGATCAATAGGATAAGTAGAAGTGTAGGTATTAAATTTCGATTACAAGATTTGTAGCAGACAGACAGACAGACAGACAAACAAGAAGTGAAGTTAAAGAGAAGTGTTGTAAGTATGGCATAACGTTAATGTTTTTGCACCAACATAAAGTTGGCTGTCTAAATTTTCAAATGTTGACCAAAAAAAATTTATAATAAAAAATAGAAATAATAAAAGTATAATAAATAAGGTATAATAAAAAAGTATAATATATTGTACCTTTTATTTTTCAGTGATATCAACATTCTGCTGATTGGAGACCCAAGTGTTGCCAAGTCTCAGCTACTGCGCTATGTGCTGCACACCGCACCTCGCGCCCTCAACACCACGGGGCGTGGCAGTTCAGGTGTCGGTCTCACTGCCGCTGTCACCACAGACCAGGAGACTGGCGATAGAAGGTACACAACTTACTTGTTACTTGTTCAACTTATTATTTCTACTCTATTCACATTTGATTGGATTTTTTATTGTGCTTTCAATGGATGCAATATTTTCTTAAGGTTTTTTTCTTTCAGTTTCATCATTTCTACGGTGCATTAATGTTTAATTTTCACTTACCGAGGCGAACATTATCCTGGTATTTTATTATGGAGGTTCACATTGATCTTGGGGTAATATATTAGCCTTTACAGTGTAATCTACGGTAACTCATTACTGTTACAATATAATCAACACACTGAAATTGTCGAACTACTCCTGTCAGAGGTTACAACGGAAAAGCATAACCCCTTTGCTTCACATGTAACATTCTGAATGGTCTCTCACTGATGAAATGAAATGTGAGCAAGCTCGATAATCCACAGTTAATAATCAAATTGAAATTCAAAAAATCGACAGCAAATAATTTTCTGACGCTAATTTACTATACTTCTGTATTACAAATTTAGTGAGAAAAAATAGACCTTTAATTCAGTTGACAAACTGATGCTAAATTGCTTTCAGCAAATGTTTAACTTCAGACTTTGTTAACCAGACTGGAAGCAGGAGCGATGGTGCTTGGTGACCGAGGCATCGTCTGCATCGATGAGTTCGACAAGATGAGTGACATGGACCGGACCGCCATCCACGAGGTTTGTCTCGACATTCATTATTATCATTTGTTGATTGTTGCCTGTCTGATTTTCTTCGTAACATCGTTTATATATTTGATTCCAGATCTAGTTTTTTGTTTTAATTCTCATATTCATGCCTCATGTTCATGAATCAATTGACAGAATAAATAATTTGAAAAATTTTATATTTTAAAAATAAAATGTAGAAATTAATTTTTTAATATTTGATAACAAAATTATAAATTCATTGTACATGTGTAACATTGGAGACACTGGATTCTTTAGAAGTGTTGTCTTTAAAAAGTAGTTTTTAAACGCATATTATTTTCTCTGTGGTTTCTGCAAACAGTTCAACAGTTCTCAATTATCATGGAATAATTGGTTCTTGGTAAACATTCAATACTTCCTGAATGCCTTGTTTTGCCTGACACGCAAAAATGTTTAGCTGCATTTTTTGAGCTACTTACGTTGCGACAGGTGATGGAACAAGGTCGGGTCTCCATCTCAAAGGCCGGCATCCACGCAAGCCTGAACGCGCGCTGCTCTGTGCTCGCGGCCGCCAACCCTGTTTACGGCCGCTATGACTCCTACAAGACGCCCATGGAGAACATTGGCCTGCAGGACTCGCTGCTCTCACGTTTTGATTGCCTTTTCATTATGTTGGACACTGCTGAACCCGCCAGCGACAGAATGATTGCTGATCACGTGGTCAGGATGCATAGATATCGGTGCGTATTCTCATGAGAAATGTGTTCCATGTAAAGTTAAATTTTACCTTTTTACTGTTACAATTATCTCATTTAAGCGATTTGCTGTAGAATGTCATTGATGTCAGTTTTTTGTTAATTTTTCTTCCTCTGCACGCGTCTTTTCTTTACAAATTTCTAGAATCCATGCATAGTTTTGTCCATGCACAACATATCAGCTCTTTTATTTGGAGTTGTAAAATTTAGGTAACTAAGCTGATTTTCGTAAGTCGAGGTCACTGAATGTTTTCACTTAAAACAATCATCACGAATTTACCGATTCAGTGGCCCGATGGAGCAGGAAGGCGAGGCCATGGCCTTGGGCCTAGGCATCGACATGCTCTCCACTGAGGACCCTTCTGGCAACGACCAGGGAGGCGACGGGCAGGAAGAAACACCGATCTATGAGAAATACGATGCCCTTCTCCACGGCTCCTCACGGGCGGCCACGTAAGCTCTTCTCGTGTATTTGTTCCTGGAAATTTTTTTTTTTAAATTTCCAATGCACAATGATGGCGATAACGAGCCTGAACTTACACATTGATAAATACCTCTGATGAATGGGATGTTCCAGGCTCCTAGATGGGGAAGCCTTTATCCTTAGAACATGCATTACAGCTAATTACTATTGAAATAAATTGGCATCTAATTGACCGTTGATCATTAGTAACGTTTCCAGTAAATGGAGGATACTCAATAAAGTGCGTACCTGCTTCACACATTCAGATTTTGTCTTAAATGTGTTCTCTTTCAAATAACGTAGCCCCCTAAAATCTTTCTTCCCGCTTTAGAAGATAAAAGCAACTTGACTCTAAAATTTAATTTTGCTATGAATTTATTTCTTCCTGCAGGGATAAGTTTGTTAGTCTGCAATTCATGCGCAAATACATTCACTTGGCCAAGGCAATCAAGCCAGTCCTGACGAAAACAGCCTCAGAAGCCATCGCTGAAGAATATTCTCGACTTCGCTCACAAGATTCGGAGCACAATGACATAGCCAGGGTGAGTACATGTGTGGAGTTTTTAGTTCCTACACTATTGTGAGAAAATGCATAATGTGTTAGTCACCGGACGCTTTTGCTCAACTTGAGTTTCAGAGTGATACAAGCACAAGACATTTGAGACTGATGACTTTTTTGAAAGTTACAGCACAATTTTCAGATTCATATCTTGCATTCTTACTTCAACAGGTAATCAAGCCAGCAATTTTAATGTAATTATAATTTTAATATGATAAATATTATTGAAAATCGTTATTATTAATATTGTAAATGTATTCAAAATTGCTTAATCTATTCTCATTGTAACAAATTCGTATTGGTAAAAATAAAATTTAAAAATAATTGCTGTTGATTCCTAGTTTTGCGTCTTTTCATCATTGATAATTTTTGTTCAGACACAACCTGTAACCGCCCGAGCGCTGGAGACGCTCATCCGTTTGTCAACAGCTCATGCGAAGGCGCGTCTTTCCGTCAAGGTGCAGGCCAAGGATGCCGAGGCCGCCATCGAGATGGTCCAGTACGCCTACTTCAAGAAAGTAGGTCTCGTTTTTTAATACTATGCATGCTTTTATGATTGGGCTGTTACAGCAACACGATTATTGTATCATTGATCATGTTATTAAGATAATACATTATTTTGAGTTTTGATCATTGATATATATAATTAAGATGTATATTAAATTCACGATCCCTCCTGTACCAAGAGCATAGACGAATTTTTGTTTGTGTGTGGCAAAATCTTCCACATACACTAGGGAGAAGGTGGGCGGTTGAGGTATGAGGTAATAAAGTCGAAAAATGAGAGCTAAAAAGTGAGGCAGATAAAAACTCGGCCACTCCCACAGGTATATCTCACCATAAAGATTTAGGAAAAGCTGTGGGACAAAAGAGAAATGGAGGTGCTGAAAGAGAATCGCCCCCACTCGAGCCAGGCGTAGTTATAGATTGGCTGGATTGTGAAAGATTTCATAAATTAATGAATGCTTTGAATTGTGTTTTTTTATGAATGGTAATATTTTTAAGATTGTGCTGAAGAAGACCAACAAAAAGAGCGCCAAGGAGTCAGTTGATAGTGCCGAGGAGTCTAGCGATGATGAAGAAACATCAACGCCCGCGGTTCCTAAGAGGAAGCGCAAGTCGGGCGACGGCGTCCAACAGCCCACCAAACGGCCCAAGAAAGCTGCCGTGCACGACGAAGGTTAGTTATGAACTTGCGTCTTACATCGTAGAGATTTTTGACCAAATTTGAAAATTTAATTGTCGGACAACTTTAATGACGATACTCATTTTATGTGTCTCGCGTATTGAAAAATGTATTCTTATTTTTTTTACTTGGTGGAGTAAAATTGAAGTCATGACTTAGTAACACTGGTGTTATGAGTGAGGTAACACTTGCTTTTCAGAAGACATCGAGGCCCCCGTAGCTTCCCAGCCTCGCACACCAGCCCGCGCTAGACCTACTGCTCCCGAGCCTGCTCAGGTGAAAGAAATTAGCAAAGAAAGACTAACCGCTTTCCGAGCCTCCATGAGCAAGATGTTCATGGAGAGCTATTCACAAACTGTCACAATGGACAAACTCCGAAGTTATATGCGCGAGAAGCACGCTGACCAACCGTTCTCAGAAGACGAAATCGAGGCAGCTGTGCAACGCATGACGGATGATAATCAGATAATGGTTGCGGATGACATGGTCTTCCTTATTTAATTTTAAGTTCTACTTTTTTACGTCTGTTTTGCTGTTTTTACGGTTATGCATCGTGCGCTATTGGAAAGGATTAATTTCATCAGGTCAAGTCTGCTTAGTATTAATGAGGCGGATCGAAGATTCATGCAATGGTTTTGTTTAGGTGGATGAAAAGTCTGATGAAGTGAAGGTGATAGAAACATGATTCTGTTATACAAAGCCTATATCTGTACACCTTAGTGATGTCGAAATTCTCGATAATAAATATTATCCTACTCTCGGGTGTTCATTACCACAAATTATTGCTTGAACTGCCTAGTGCCGAAAACTATTGAATTCCTCGACGAATGTTGTTTTGGCGACACCATTATTTTTTTATAGCGTTTTTAACTTGACACAGCTTATACTTTTTTTTACTTATAATATAGTCTGATGTGTGTAACGTTGAACTTTTAGGTAAATGGACGAGGACGTTATGTTATTATGACGATATATGGTTAGTCAAACACCGAAGCATTTGATAAGACGAATTAGACATATTTTGGAAATTATTGCACCACAGCCGAACATGTGCATGAATATGAGAGAAATATTTTTAATTATATCTCTTAGAGCAGTGGAAAGAATTTTCTCAAGCCTATATTGACTATTAAGATATTTACATTTATATTACAGAAGCTGCTGTTTCTGTAAGGTTAGGGCTTCTTGATATTAATTTGTTATAAGCTTCTCAGATAATTTTGCTCGTCCTTGAAATACCTGCAAATGTTCTAGATATGTGTCCCTGTAATAGACATTTACTGTGGGGGCTTGCAGTCGCCTGACTCGTGTTTTAGATTTGACATCTGCCAACAGAAAACTGCAGTACCGATACGTTCTCTTGTTTGCGTTGCGAAGATTGGATACCATTTAAGTCATGCTAGATATTATTTTATTTCGAGAAGATCAAGGAGGAAACCCTGATCTTGTACGACAGTCTCAAAAAAAGCGTTATAAAGATGTTGGCGCCGTTGATAAAGTTATAGAACTTGACAGCAAATGGAGAGCTGGTAAGAATTATTGTTATTGATAACTACAGCCGTTTCATTTGAATTTTTTAATGCTATTGGTCAAAAATGATTGTGTATACCATGCATGCAATGGCTGTCTTTGTTACTCAATACTCAGTAATTCACTTGATCTAGTTGAGAAACAGCAATGAATATTAATTGCACTAGGCTACATTGCTACAATCAAATGGGGTAATAGCTAAGGGATGGGCGGGGTAATAAGGGACAGGCGGGCCGCGGGGGACAGCGGGGTAATAAGGGACACTCCTTTGACATTTTGTAGCAAAGTTGTAGCAGCTAAATTAATTGAAATATTGCAAAACTACAACTAGTATTGTGAAGTTAAAAACATTTTTCCTATCAAAGTAGGTAGCATGAATTTAGTTAACTTGTTAAAAAATTATCATACCTATTACCTAGCCTCCTAGGTACATTTACTATTTCATAAAATTCCCTGAAAAAAATGCAAAAAGTTAGATTTTGAGAAGTAGGGTAAACGCGGTATATTCCGACATTGTAGGTAATTCCGTCACTTCTCTAGTTTTTCCTTTATATTAAGCTTTGTTTTAGTTCCATGCGTTCATTGATGGTTGAAATGGTGACGTCATACATTTGCGTGTCAAAATACTGCAAAAACACTAGGTCTTGGCCATCTAGCGGGAAAATATTGAGATCCAAAGAGAGACAATGCATGCCACGTCATAGTGGCAAACCAGAGCTTTTTTGGAATCAGTTCATTTTTAATTTCCTTTATAACTCAAGATTTAAACCAATTTCTTAAGTATGATAATGCTGGTATCCATGATACTTTACTGGTCTACTTATAGGTCTCAAAAATGAACTTGAGGGAGAGTCTAAAAAACTCTCTGCTTTGTCACTATGTGCCACGTGGTGAGATCATCGAAAAATGTGTCAAATTTGACAGTTGACATGACTCCACTGTGCAGAGAGTGAACGAAGATTTAAAGACATACGGCGACGCATTATCGGCAAAATTTTCGCCTTCAGAAGATCTTGCCGACACATTTAGATTGAAATTCTTGCATTTAATATATTTCTCAGTCTTCAGCCAACTATTTAGAAAAAAAGTAAGGTTTCCGNGCACTTCTGGTAGATTAGCTAGTCAGACTAAAGTTTCAACTACTCTTGACACAACATGATTCCCTCATTGATGTATGGGACATTCATGAGCGGATTATGAAAGACAACTGGTCCTACTAAGTTGCACAAGTCATTAAATATACTCCTATACTCCTATCCACACTAGCATCATAATCAGTTAATATACTCCTGGAAACAACTAGAAAATTGAACTAAGTCACATATGTCTGGATTCAAAGTATCTAGGAAAAGCGCAAGGCACATCAACTTCAAGTTGGTATCTAAATCAAATTTTGGTTCATAGGTGGAATCTCTTAGCTTCTTTCTTGATGGCCAGGAGTTGGTCGAGTGATCATCGGTTCTCATCAAGAAGACTGTAGCTCCACACCAACCGCTCCTAAACGTCAAATAAATGCGTTCATAAGAACTAGCCTTCTAGAAATATTGACATCAGGAGGATGTTTAAACTGTTATGTCACACACAAAGTCATCAATGCATTAGTTTCAGAAGCAAAGTTATTCAAGGGTCGACACAACATGGTTCAAGTAAGCAAAATGAAAATTGTGCAATAAAAGGGACAAGATTAACATGAGAACCAGTGAAAACCATCCTTCATTCATTACAAACAGGCATGAGTAACTGGAAAACATTTGTTAAGAGCTCAGCAAAGACAAATATAAGCATGGTGACATTTTAATGAGATGAAATGAACTGTACTCACCAAAATGGAGCATCAGGATGGGATTATTAAGCAGAGATGTAGATCAATCATGCATTAAGGCATCTTAAACAGGCTTTTTGAAGGTCAGAAGAGAATCAGGTGCAACCAGTGAATGTTCAATTCAGCAATCAGGGGTGCAGAATAACCAAAAGTGCATAACACATGGACTTGCAAGAATCTAGTCTCATTAACTTTTACTCTGCTTAAATATTACACCAAGGGAAACAAGATACATGATTAATAAGATGCACATGACACTCGAAAGATAATGAAATAAAACATGACATACATTAAGGTACAATTGTAAATGAACGATTCTACTGGATATTATAGCTAATGGTCTGCGGCCCTCTTCAGCGTCCTTAAAGTGTCGGAATATACCGCGTTTACCCTACCATTGCTAAGGTCTCTAGAAGAAAAAAATTTTGCTATATTAAAAAAATTTACATGCATAACCTAAAAGTTGCACATGGCCATGGGTGTTGGATTAAAAACATGATAGTCAGAAATTGCATAGCTCAATCCCTCCCAAAATGAAAATGGTGGCTATTTCTGCAAGATGGGGTAATAAGGGACAGTGGGACACCCCCCATCCTCAGGATAATGCATTAATGCTAATTGCTAATAATGCACACCCCTAAAAATGCATTAACAGTAAAACCTTGGTTAGCAAAGGCTCCAGAGTCCAGTTAACTTAAAGATCAATAAAAAAGAAAGCATTCTGATTACATTTACATTGCACACCCAAAAAAAATTCAATTCACAAAAAATTAATGCATCATTGGTCATCACAAAATTGTGTGTAGAATGATAGAAAGAATTGTGGGTATTACTTTAGATTGAGAATCTGAAATCCATTTTTGGCGGTGGGCATCGGAAATTTTTAATGGAACCTGTTCCTAACTGGACCTAACCTGCAAGGTTATTGTTGATCAGCTAGGTTTTTTCTATGTTTGGAGTCTGACCGGCGGCTGGAAAAACCTAGCCAATAGGTTTTTTCTATGTTTGGAGTCTGTCCGGTGGCCGGAAAAACCTAGCCAATCAACGAAAACCTTGCAGGTTAGGTCCAGTTAGGAACAGGTTCCATTAAGTATTTCCAATGCTGACTGCCAAAAACGGATCTCAGATTCTTAATCTACACCCCAAAAAACATATGATTAAAAAAACACCTTTTTTTTGGATGCACTTAATCTAAAGTATTACCAAATTGTGTACTGGGCAACATAGAATGAAAAGTAATTAGGGTAAATGCAGTTTTTCTGACACATTAAGGACGTAGCAAGAAATGATGGCTATAAAAATATCACCGTAAGCGCAACTTGAGTTCTGATTGGTTTACGTCACTCTCAAAACACCACACTACGCGCCAGCAACAATGAAACTCCACAAACTGTTGCCATATTTATTTAAAAGCCTTTAGAATTCAAACCTACTAAATCCCTGATTTCCGATGCTGTGCGTGACTAAATTTGGCATATTGTGAGACTAATTCCGGCAACGCTTCAAACTCTATTAATTTGTAATTCCGGCGCCCTGTGTTGGAATTCCGACGCCCTGTGTGAGCTGTATCAGAAAACGACACAGCTCGGAACAAGCTGTGTGTGTCTAATTCCAAGCTGTGTCGGTATTAGTTTTTATGTGTCTAAAACCATCACTTAACTTAATCATCTATTAATTTATTTATCACTTGAAATCAGCAAATACAAGTATACTTAAGGTGGTGCTTGAGAGCCGCGAGCTCTCAGGCAGGCTTGGCTGAATCCCTATGAGAATCTATCACTACGTATAGTCATTATAACTCCGCTCGTAAATGAAATATCAATCTGAATTTTGCCATGCTCATTCAGCTATTTATTTACAATTTTGGCCATTCCTCGGCCACCTAAGAGACGGCCGCAGCCCCTTAGATGGGTGCTGGCTCAGGTATCATATTACAAAGGCAACAAGCTCGAGCGCAGCAACTTGCCGATCTGAACACAGAACAAGGGTTCTACATCGTTGTCGCGAATTTCTCGCTCACGGACTTCGCCGCACTGTGACTACAGGCCTTAAAGGATACCTAATATATTCACAGACTTATTTAAAAGTCTCAAACCATAATATTCTTTCTACACAAACAGTTTATCACCATTTGATAGAGCAAGGTCAACTATCAACTTTGCCACGTTTTTCGATGTTTTCTCTGGGTGACGTGCACTGTCTCTCTTTGGATCTTAACATTTTCCGGCCAGATGGCCCAGACCTAGTGTTTTGGCAATAGTATGGCGCGCAATAGTATGACGTCACTTTTTCAACCATCAACGAATGCATGGAACTAAGACAAAGCTTAATATAAAGGATAAAAGTTCCTTTCTGTTTCAGGTATGTTCATTACAATTTTTTTTGACAAACTGTTTCAATTGTATAGTATCTCAGATTTGTTATAAAATTGTTTGGATGTCTCTTGTTTGATTGTTATTTTTTATTTTTATTTTATTTAATGGACTTTTTGAAAATTGTCCAGGCTCTTCTTTGTAGTGATCAAGTTTAAGTTGAGTATTAAGTGAACCAGTAGGGTAGTACATATACCATATTTGGGGGCGGGGCTTATGGGCACAACCAATCACAGCTAGAAATCCCATCAACCAATCACAGCTAGAAAGCTGATAACATTACAATTTCATTAACCAATCACAGCTGGAAAGCTGAAAGGGCTAAAATCACAATCCCATCAACCAATCACAGCTGGAAAGGGATAGGATATGTATATAATAGACCGAAAGCAGGGTTGGTGATTTTTTTAATTTTTTTTCATGATTTTTTTTATTTATTTGATTTTTTTTTATTTTTTCAGCTTTTTTGTCTTTTTGAAGTGTTATTTTTTATGTTGCAATTAGCCTACTAACAATAACAGTATATGACCTCGGACCCTTTGGGGGGCCAGGGGCGTCACTTCCCTGCGTGAACAAGATTTTGTAGTGTAAATTATTAAAGGGAATGATATAGTCAGATGGGGTAAGACAGGACCAAAATCACTAACAAGCCTGTAGCATCTATACCAAGAATAACTAAAAACCCTAAACCTATCACAAGGTGTATATATGTAATGGGCTTTTAAGCTACAACTCGGACGTTTTGCATCTAACATAGTTTTTTGTACAGATTAAAAAAAGTGAGCTGGTCCCATTTTACCCCACT